CCATCTGACAAAGGGCTGATATCCAGAATTTACAAAGAACTCAAACAGATTTACAGGAAAAAAACAAACAAGCCCATTCAAAAGTGGGCAAAGGATATGAACAGATACTTTACGAAAGAAGACATATATGAGGCCAACAATCATATGAAAAAATGCTCATCGTCACTGGTCATCAGAGAGATGCAAATCAAAACCACATTGAGATACCATCTCACGTCAGTTAGAATGGCGATCATTAAAAAATCTGGAGACAACAGATGCTGGAGAGGATGTGGAGAAAAAGGAACACTTTTACACTGTTGGTGGGAGTGTAAATTAGTTCAACCATTGTGGAAGACAGTGTGGCGATTCCTCAAGGCCTTAGAAATAGAAATTCCATTTGACCCAGCAATCCCATTACTGGGTATATATCCAAAAGACTATAAATCGTTCTACTATAAGGACACATGTACACGAATGTTCATCGCAGCACTGTTTACAATAGCAAATACCTGGAATCAACCCAAATGCCCATTGATAATAGACTGGATTGGAAAAATGTGGCACATATACACCATGGAATATTATGCAGCAATCAGAAATGATGAGTTTGTGTCGTTTGTAGGGACATGGATGAATCTGGAGAACATCGTCCTCAGCAAACTGACACAAGAACAAAAAATGAAACACCGCATATTCTCACTCATAGGTGGGTGATGAAAAATGAGAACACATGGACACGGAAAGGGGAGTACTAAACACTGGGGTCTATTGGGGGGAAAAGGGGAGGGCCAGTGGGAGGGGGAGGTGGGGAGGGATAGTCTGGGGAGAAATGCCAAATGTGGGTGAAGGGGAGAAGAAAAGCAAAACACACTGCCATGTGTGTACCTACGCAACTGTCCTGCATGCTCTGCTCATGTACCCCAAAACCTAAAATCCAATAAAAAATTAAAAAAAAAAAATAAAGTCTTCATATACTTGGAACATATATGTTAACTCTGATTTTTTTCTTTATTGTTCAACTTGAGTTTTTGAGATTCAGGCATGCTGACACATGTAATTAATGTCCTTCATATGCATCTGCCACATTTTACTCATCCATTTTATGGTTTTAGGCATTTTAGTTATTTTTCCTTTTTTTGCTTTCATAAAAATGTTTTTATGAATGTTTTAGTTTATAACATCCTTTCCCAGTGACTTTTGGATTTTCCCATTCACAACCTATTTAACTGAGTTTACTGGTTTGAGTAGAGAACTTTAGGAAACAACCAGCGTGACCTGTTTTAGCAGACGGGATGGTGATTGCGTTGAACTGAGGTGTACACACAGTCAGGTCAGTTGTGCACGTAGACGTAGCCTTTTTTCCATTATACTTATGACCAGCACCAGCACATGATTACTGGGAAATCCTTTAGAGACCATGAATCCAATGTCCTCTTCTTGAATACTGTGCCAAAGTATTTTCAAAAATAACTGTCATGTTAACGTAGTTTCCTATGAGAAACAAGTGAATTAAAGAGTTAAAAAATCATCCTGTTATAGACGAGCTTGTTTCCTTGCTGCATTAATTCTTTTCCTGTAGTGATGTTACATGAGCACTGAGGGGCAGAAACGGAGATGAGGGTTGAGAATTTGCAGTTCTTTTCTTCCCAACTAATAAATTTAGAATGACCTAAATTTAAGGACAACAGCTGCAAACTCTAATCTGAGTACTATATTATAATTTCAACCACTGAATGAAACTAGACACATTATGTCAATGTAACAGCAACATTTTCAGGGAAGGATGAGGGATATGGACTATTTTAAAAACTAAAGTAATACAGCAGGCAGAAGCAAACACCAATCTGCTGACATCAGATAAAGACCAACTTTATTTCTGTAAAAAGAAACTTAGGGGAGAAAAGCTAAGTCAGGGAGTGGGGCTGATACCTGGGACAAGGGAAGTAGGGGTCCCATACCTCTTCTTATTTATTTATGAGACTGAGCGCATTTATTCACACACACAGGTGGATGAGAGGCTCAGCGTTTGAACTTGATGACACTGACAGCAATCCGGGCCACCCGCTGTAAGGCTTCGGCCATGTGAAGCTTTTTGTGAGGCTCCACTTCCATGGCATGGAAGGTGGGCACTTGTGCCTGCAGGACCTTGCGGTCATCGGGAGCCTCCGACAGCATGGTGAGGGCCTTGGTGGCGTTCAGGCGCACTACAGTCATGGGGGAATGCAGCAGCTCCAGAAGCGGGCTGATGGCTTCTGCCTCCAGAGCCGCATACTTCCCTTCCCTGATCACCGTGGCAAACATCAAGGCCCCAGCAGCGTTAGACCTCACATGCTCCACCGGGTCTTTCAGTAGATGCACCAGGATGGGGATGACGTCAAACTGACACACCTGTTTCTTGCCCACACGAGATATGCTGACATTAAGGAGCGCACCGGCAGCCTTGCTTCGGATGTTCTCGTTGGTGCTGATGAGCTTCTGCTTCAGGATGGGCACCACGTTGCTATTCAGGGCCTCGGTGGCATCTTCCCACAGGCAGAGCACCAGAGTGTCTAGGATGAGCTCCTGGAACTCCTCCTCCACTTTCCCTGCAGCTTCATACCAGCGGGGAGATCAGACCTTTGCTGATGGTCTCTTCAGCCCCAGTGTAAATCTTCAGGGTTTGCATAGGCCTTTCACTCTTTCGGGGAAGGAGTGGTGAGACAATCCAGGGAAGCAGGTGCCACTAGCTCCACTTGACAAACAGAAAGGCTGGGAGAGGTCAGTCAGTTGCCCAAGGATGCAGAGCTCACAGGAGGCCGAGCTGGGTTTGAACCCGAGTAGAGAGAAGGTGAGCCGGGACTGGCTGTGGTCAAAGAGGCCAGGGCCAAGGCTTCCCTCAGGCCGAGGTGACCCCATGGCTCGGCTACCAGGCCTCAGGGCAGTGGAGTCTCTGCTTTTTTTTTTTTTTTTTCCTGCAGGAGCATGTTTATTGTGTTTGAGATGATACATCAGGTGCTCTCTGAGCTACAAAGGGTAAAAGGAAATCCTCTCATTACAAACTGACAAAGGTAAAAGGTAAAATATTTTTCACAACAGCATGAACCTCATACTCGGATCTGGATTTAATACAAATGATGCAATTCCTAGTCATCTACAGCTACTTTTATAACTTCATACAGGTAATGAATTAGGCTAAAATGCACTATAATATTTGGCTTGGGGCAAACCACCAGCTGATATAGTTTGGATGTTTGCTCCTTCCAAATGTGATCCCCCATGTTGGAGGTGGGACCTGGTGGGAGGTGTTTGGGTCATGGGGGTGGATCCTTCATGAATGACCCTCTTCATGATAATGAGTAAGTTCTCCCTGCATTAGCTCACACAAAAGCTGGTTGTTTAAAGGAGTCTAGGCCAGGCACAGGGGCTCATGCCTGTAATCCCAGCACTTTGGGAAGCTGAGGCTGGCGATCACCTAAGCTCAGGAGTTCAAGTCCACCCTGGACAACATGGTGAAACCCCATTTCTACTAAAACACAAAACATTGGCCGGGCGTAGTAGCACACACCTGTAGTCCCAGCTACTCGGGAGGCTGAGGCACAAGAATTGCTTGAGCCCTGGAGGCAGAGGCTGCAGTAAGCTGAGATCGCATGACTGCACTCCAGTTTGGATGACAGAGTGAGACTCTGTCATCAACAAACAAACAAACGAAGGAGTCTGGCATCTCTCTTGCTCCCTTTCTCATTCACCATGTGATAACACCAGTTCCCACTTGGCCTTCTGCAATGATTGTGCTTCCTGAGGCCTCAGCAAAAGCAGATACTGTCATTATACTTTTTGTACATCCTGCAGAACTGTGAACCAAATAAACCTCCTTTCTTTATAAATTATCCAGCCTCAGATATTTCTTTATGGCAACAAAAAATGGACCAACGCACCAGCAGTCATGGTGTTCTTGTTCTCAAAGCCAAGGCAGGCAGATCACCTGAGGTGAGGAGTTTGAGACCAGCCTGGCCAACATGGCAAAACCCTGTCTCTACTAAAATTACAAAAATCAGCCGGGCATGGTAATAGGTGCCTGTAATCCCAGCTACTTAGGAGTCTCAGGCAGGGAGAATTGCTTGAACCCTGGAGGCAGAGGTTGCCGTGAGATGAGATTGTGCCACTGCACTCCAGGCTGGGTGACAGAGCAGAACTCTGTCTCAACAACAACAAAAAAAAAAAAAAAAAAAAAAAAAAAAAAAGATTTATCATAAAATCACAAAATTTAATTTATAAATATGACCTCTTTGTGCAGGGAACCTCACAGTCCCCATGTCTATTTAGAGAATCCCCAGCTTTGAACTCACTAAAATAGGACAACTTCTGTTTCAGGTAGCTGGAAGGGAAGCCCCCACCCACATCACAGTTCTGACTTCATTGTTCTTTGTATCTAATCCCAGGTATACCTTGTATAGAATCTGTTACAAGGTGAGGTAAGTGAGGAACTCCCCTAATAAAACAATTAAATGGGAAAGCAGAAAACTTAGCAATCAAAATAAATAATGTTTTAATGCATTATTTAAAAATATTAAAATTAATGCAAAAAAAAATCACTGTGAGCTAATATTAAAATTTAGACAACAGGATCAGACCCTGCACTTTTGCAATTCACCTTGTTCATCTCACCTTAATTCCTGTTAATTTCCCTCTCAATTAGTTTCCAGCAGGACAAAAATTTGTTGGACTTGGTATGAAGATTCAATCCATACCTTGCAGAAATATTTGGTCTAAGAAGGATATTTCATCTAGGAAGAAGTCATTTATTAAGTTTAATTCTCCCATCCTATCTTCAAGGCAACAAATACAGTCTGAGACCCTCCCTGACCAGTTTTATTTGCCACTTTCCAATTATTTTATCACAACACAGCCAATCACATTCTGTTGGAAGATTTTACTGCAAATAATGACTTACTCTTGCTAACGTGATTAGGATGATTATATAATTTTCTTCATTCAGCTGAGCCGACTCCGTGCCGGTGAGTGTGGTTCGGGGCGGGGGCGGCCTCCCTGGGGACCCAGGCCGGCTTGGCCCGGCCACTTAGTGTCCCCGCTGACCCCCTGCCCACCCCGGGCCCCCAGCCTGCTGCGATGGAGGCCGCCGCCCAGTTCTTCTTCAAGAGCCCGGACGTGGTCTACGGCCCGAGGCTATCGAGGTGCAATACGAATACCGGAAGACGCGCGTCAGCTGCGAGGGCAGCGTCCTCAAGGTGCACCCCACGACCACACGCTTCACCTTCCGGACCGTCCGGCAGGTGCCCAGGCTCGGGGTCATGCTTGTCGGCTGGGGCAGGAACAACGGCTCCACGCTCACAGCCGCGGTGCTGGCCAAACTACTGCGTCTGTCCTGGCCCATGCGCAGCGGCCACAAGGAGGCCAACTACTAGGGCTCAGTGACTCAGGCAGGCACCGTGAGCCTGGGCTTGGACGCCGAGGGCCAGGAGGTGTTCGTGCCCTTTAGTGCGCTGCTGCCCATGGTGGCTCCCAACGACCTCGTGTTTGATGGCTGGGACATCTCATCGCTGAACCTCGCCGAGGCGATGCGCGAAGGTGCTGGATTGGGAGCTGCAGGAGCAACTGTGGCTGCACATGGAAGCCCTGTGGCCTCGGCCTTCCGTCTACATCCCCAAGTTCATCGCCACCAACCAGAGCACGCACGCAGACAACCTCATCCCGGGCTCGTGCGCCAGCAGCTGGAGCAGATCCGCAAGGACATCCGACACTTCCGGTCTATCGCGGGGCTTGACAAAGTCATCGTGCTGTTGACGGCCAACACAGAGGGCCTTCTGTGAGGTGGTTCCAGGCCTCAACGACACGGCTGAGAACCTGCTGCGCACCATTGAGCTTGGCCTGGAGGTATCTCCCTCTACGCTCTTCGCCGTTGCCAGCATCCTGGAGGGCTGTGCCTTCCTCACTGGGTCCCTGCAGAATACCCACCCTGGTGCCCGGAGCTCTTGAGCTCGCGTGTCAGCGCCTGTTTTCGTGGGTAGAGATGACTTTAAGTCTGGCCAGACTAAAGTCGAGTCCGTGCTTGTGGACTTCCTCATCAGCTCTGCCCTCAAGACCATGTCCATCGTGAGTTACAACCACCTGGGCAACAACTGGCAGAACCTGTCGGCGCCGTTGCAGTTCCGCTCTAAAGAGGTGTCCAAGAGCAACGTGGTGGACGACATGGTGCAGAGTAACCCAGTGCTCTATACGCCCGGCGAGGAGCCCGACCACTGAGTGGTCATCAAGTACATGCCGTACGTGGGCGACAGCAAGCGCGCGCTGGATGAGTATACTTCGGAGCTAATGCTGAGTGGGACCAACACGCTGGTGCTGCACAAAACGTGCGAGGACTCCCTGCCGGCCACACCCATTCTAGACCCGGCGCTGCTGACCGAGCTGTGCCAGCGCGTGAGCTTCTGCACTGACGCGGACCCTGAGCCGCAGACCTTCCACCCCATTCTGTCGCTGCTCAGCTTACTCTTCAAGGCGCTGCTGGTGCCGCCGGGCAGCCCGGTGATCAATGCGCTTTTCCTCCAGTGCAGCTGCATCGAGAACATCCTCAGGGCCTGCATGGGACTCCCGCCACAGAACCACATGCTCCTGGAGCATAAGTTGGAGCACCCAGGGCCCAGCCTCAAGCAAGTCGGACCCCTGGCCGCCTGCCCTGTGTGGAACAAGAAAGGACCGGTACCCATTTCCACCAACGGCTGCACCGGTGATGCCAATGGGCACCCACAAGTGGAGGAACCCCAGATGCCCACCACCTGAGGCCCCTGTCACACCGCTTCCCAGCCCTTCCTCCCTGCTGCCCCCCCCAGAACCCCAACTTTCCAGGTCGCCCCAAAGACAAGAAAGCCACTGCCACTCTCAGCTGTCCTTCCACCTGGGGTTCTTGGGGCCTGTGACCTGGCTCTGCCTCCCTCTACTTCCCCAACTCTGAGCGCCCAGCTTCCCGTCCCAATCCTTCTGCCCATGGTTGCCACCCCAACTCCCAGGGAGAGCCCAGAATCCGGAGCTTCAGTCTACCCCCGGTTCTTGAAGGTGGGGCTAGATAGGTGGGGTGGGAAACAAGACCGCAGGGTGGACAGTGTGGTGGCCGAAGACCAAAGAGGGAATCTGAGACACGCTACCAAAAACCAAAACTAGGTTCTATTTATTGATGGGGCCCACCCCCTGACGTCCTGGGGAGAGGGGCCCCCAAAGAGCCCTTCTTTGTGGAACAAAATACAAATGGCAGGACGGGTCCATACAGAAAAAAAAAAAAAATTCTTCATTCAAATTGGGACATTTTTCTTTGAAAGGAGTGTTATCGAAATTATGCCGGGACTAATGGGACTGACTTGGACAAAGCAGTATATTGCTTTTGGTATGCGCTATTATAGTTTGATCACGTTCCTGTTTCATGGATGACTTTATTACTATGAGAGTGATCACTTTTAAAAAGCAGCATTTCATACATATTGCATCCAGTTTTTTATTTACATATCCCTTTGACTGTGAACACTTCTTTTCTTAGTCTGCGCCTTTGTCATTGTGATGTTTCCATCAGACAGCATAGTGCACTGCCTTGCATTGTGCAGAGTTTTGTATTTGTGCCATCCTTTTATATGTATTTATTTAGATGGAGTCTCTCTCTTGTTGCCTAAGCTGGAGTACAGTGGTGCAGTCTTGGCTAGCTGCCACCTCCACCTTCCAGGTGATTCAAGTGATTCTCCTGCCTCAGCTCCTGAGTAGCTGGGATTACAGGTGCCTGCCATCATGCCCAGCTAATTTTTGTATTTTTAGTAGCCACAGGGTTTCACCACGTTGGCCAGGCTGGTCTCAAATTCCTGACCTTAGGTGATCTGTCCATCTTGGCCTCCCAAAGTGCTGGGATTACAGGCGTGAGCCACTGCCCCTGGCCTTAGGCCATTCCTTGACATTCATGTTTATGACATCTTTGACTTACTCAATAGCATGTCTTGTACCATAGTGCTGGAAATGCTAAATTGTGTTCAGAATTTCCACGCCCTTCTTAGTGAAACTTTGCCAAGCCAGTAAACCTATGATAATACAGTAATGAAATCTTATCCCAGTGTCTCATTTCCAGTGCCGTGATGGTAACATTTTATCTTGTTGTCTTCAGAGGGACTTAACCTCAGTGATTCTGTCAGTAGTAATGGACACATTTAATTTATTCAGCAGGAAGTTCTGTCTTAAAGCTCATTCTCTTCCCCCATCCAGAGAGTGAGGACAAGCTTCTGCAAAAGGGGTAATTAGCAGAACTTTTGATATTCAGAAAATAGTTATCATCCCTTTCTTGCTCTTTCTATCACTCTGTGTGACACACATATATTTAATATGTTTATATTTAATATTTTCAGTTCTTTTCTCAATGCTCTTGATTAATAATGAGGGGCAATAGAAGTCATCTACAGAGATATACAAAGTTTACTTTAACTGTATCCAGATTTAGAGTTGTTTTAATCATTTGAAATCTGAGTTTCAAGATTTTTTAAAACCAATAAATGCAGCCGGGAGTGGTGGCTCACGCCTGTAATCCCAGCACTTTGGGAGTCCGAGGCAAGCGGATCATGAGGTCAAGAGATCAAGACCATCCTGGCCAACTTGGTGAAACCCTGTCTCTACTAAAAATACAAAAATTAGCTGGGCATGGTGGCGTGCGCCTATAGTCCCAGCTACTCAGGAGGTTGAGGCAGCTTGAACCCAGAAGGCAGAGGTTGCAGTGAGCCGAGGTCACGCCACTGCACTCCATCCTGGCGCCTGACAAGACTCTGTCTCAAAAAAAAGCAATAAATGAAAGGCTTCAGAGTGTAAAAAATTTAAACATGATATTAAATTGCAAACCTCAAACAAAGTCTCTGCAGTGGTTTTAAATATGATGCAGGCTTCTACTCTAAAAATATGAAATCTAGATTTATTAAAGTATTACTAGAATATGGCTTTAGTTAATAAAAAAATCTAAATAAAATACAACTAGTTTTTATGACAATTCTGAAGGGAAAAAAACCCACAGTGGATTGTGTAGGAGTTAAAGGCTGAATCTTCATTTCTTTCTCTCTGAATTTGTACCAGTGATTGACAACCGCAAAGTAGAAAAAGATTAATGCAGAATGTCAGTATAGGAGATAAATTCTACACTTCAGACAACATTTTTTCACAGAGATTAGAAAAGAACATTGTCAAGAGAACACAACCCCTAGGTAATAAATGTTAATATTTACATCAATATATAATATACCATAAATATTAATATTTAAATGGCAGTGGAGATAATCTAAGGAAAACTCTCAATTTGACTGGGTTACAGGGTGGCTCAGACATATGGTCAAATGTTATTCTGTGTCTGCGAGGGTGTTTTTGAATGAGATTAACATTTGAATCTCTAGCTGAGTACAGCCCACTGCACTCCCCAATGTGGATGGTCCTCATCCCCTCGGTGGGAGGCCAGAATAGAACAAAAAGGCTGAGCCTCCCGTGAGTAAGGGGGAGCTCCTTTTGCCTGACTGTGTGAGCTGGGACATTGGTCTGTTCCCACCTTCTTAAATGAATTAAAACATTGGCTCTTCTTGAGCCTCAAGGCTGCACGTTTTTGGACTATAACTACCTCTGCTGGGTCTCCAACTTGCTGACTCCAAATGTCCATACTAATCAGCTTCTGTAATTATCTGAGCCAATTATCAATTCTTTAGACAGTCCCCAACTTACAAGGGCTTGAAATGATTTTTCAGCTAATGATGGTGTGGGCTGTTTAGTTTTTATTTAGTAAACTGACAATGACTTTGGCTAAAATAATAAAGATTGCATTTTGTTTTTTACTTTCAACATAGTATTTAATAAATTACATTAAATATCCAACACTTCATTATGAAATAGGCTTTGTGTAAGATGATTTGGCGCAACTGTCGGCTAAATGTAAGTGTTCTGAACACGTTTGAGGTAGGCTAAGCTAAGCTATGAGGCCACTAGACTACATGCATTAAACACATTTTCAACTTGTCAGAGACGTGAACCAGAGCAACTCCATCTTAAATAGGAGCTGGGTAAAATGAGGCTGAAAGCTACTGGGCTGCATTCCCAAATGGTTAAGGCATTCTAAGTCGTAGAATAAGACAGGAGGTCAGCACAAAACACAGGTCTTAAAGACCTTGGTGATAAAACAGGTTGCAGTAAAGGAGCCAGCCCAAACCCACTAAAACTAAAATGGTGACGAGAGTGACTCTGGCATCCTCACTGCTACACTCCCACCAGCGCCATGACAGTTTACAGATGCCATGGCAACATCAGGAAGTTACCCTATATGATCTAAAAGGGGAGGCATGAATAATCCACTCTTTGTTGAGCATATCATCAAGAAATATCCATTAAAATGGGCACCCAGCAGCCTTCAGGGCTGCTCTGTCTATGGAGTAGCCATTCTTTTATTCTTTTACTTTTTAATAAACTGACTTTCCCTTTGCACTGCAGAATCACCCTGAATTCTTTCTTGCATGAGATCCAAGAACCCTCTCTTGGGGTCTGGATTTGGACCTCTTTCCTGTAGCAAACTTATGATGGGTTTATGGGGACATAATCTGTCATAAGTTGAGGAGCATCTGTGTGTATGTCTGTGTGTGTGTGTGTGTCTGTGGAGAAAGAGATAGAAAGAGAGAGATAGTACTCTAGAGAAACCTTACTAATAATATATGTACAACAAACGAACTAAACAAAACCATTTCTATATTATGTCACACCTAACTTATTACTTTCCACTCTGGTACTATTGAATAAATGAACAAATGCCACACAGTTACAAAATGATACTTTTTCTATTTTTATAACCAATTCAATCAGAAAAGCAATCTTAATGAAAACTATGGTCCACCTCATAAAAGCACGTTTTATTTTTTTACTTTGTAGAGTAGGTGCTGTCAATTCTATTTTAAACATTAACCTAAAAATTGACACCCATACTAGTTGTAGTTTATGAATTGTGTTTGGTCAACAAATAAAAGGATATAATTTTTGCTAATTTTAAAAATCACTTGGCCCAGCCCAGTGGCTCACAGCTATAATCCCAGCACATTGGGAGGTCAAGGGAAGAGGATCATTTGAGCCCAGAAGTTCAAGATCAACCTGGACAACAGGGCTAAACCCCATTTCTACAAAAAAATTTAAAAATTTGCCAGGTATAGTGGTATGCCTATGGTCCCAGCTACTAGGGAGGCTGAAGTGGGAAGATCAGCTGAGCCTGGGAGGAAGAGGCTGCAGTGAGCTCTGATCACACCACTACACTCGAGCTTCGGCAACAGAGTGAGAACTCACCTGTCAAAAAAAAAATTTATTTATATGAACTTAGTTCCTTTAACATGAAATAATGTCCCTATATGTGCATACTCCATTGATTTGTAGGAAAAAAAATGATGCAAGGATGAGGGATAAATAAAGGAAGAATTTCTCCAGTATCTCTCAATCTTTTTTTTTTTTTTTTTTTTTTTTTGAGACTGTGTCTCCTTCTGTTGCCCAGGCTGGGGTGCAGTAGCACAATCTTGGCTCACTACAACCTCTGCCTCCCGGGTTCAAGCAATTCTCGCTGCCTCAGCCTCCCAAGTAGCTGGGATTACAGGTGCCCACCACCACGCCCAGCTAATTTTTTTTTGCATTTTTTAGTAGAGACAGGGTTTCACCATGTTGGCCAGGTTGGTCTTGAACTCCTGACCTCAGGTGATCCACACGCCTAGGCCTCCCAAAGTGTTAGGATTACAGGTGTGAGCCACCGTGCCTGGCCCTGTATCTCTCAATGTTGATTTTGGGGCTAGAGACTTCATGGCCCCGACTTTGCGACCACATTCACTAGTTACCTCCATGCCTGCTCTGGAGTAGAGGCTAGGGAGGCCTCAGGCTGCCGGAAGCACTCACAGCGGGAGGGAGCAGACTCTGCCCTTGGGGGTGGTTTTAGGCCCACATCCCTGGAGGGCCAGGAACTGGCAGCTACTCTGTGATGTATGTTGCGTTTTCTCCACTCTAACTCTTTACTTTGATAGCTTGTCAGTTCACTCACAAACGATATGTTGACAGTATTTGTGTTAGAACAGTACATCCTAAAATGGCATTTTACACGTAGCTGCTTTGTGCATTTAGCTTTTGCAATACAAAACTATTATCCTTAAAAAATGTCATTTAAGTACAAGCTTTAAAAAGACTTTCAGAAATAGTTACCAATTTAGGGATACATCTGGGATCTGACATTATTCTTTTTAATCAAAATTTTAGCCCCATGGAAAAAAGTAGCAGTAGACACTTTAGATGACAGTGACACAAATCATTTTCTTTTGTTTGGATAGGTTTTAACTTCTAAAATCACCTCTTACCTCATTCTCTTACTTTTAAGGAAGAAAGTTTCATTTTACCTCGGCATGTCGTGACTGCTGACGTGATTTCCAATGTACCATCAAATAGGATCATCTAGAAGAAGGTAGAAGGGGAAGGAAGTGGAGGGAGAAAACCAGATTATCAGAGGCTC